CACCTTGGACACTTCAGAAAAAAAAGGGCACAAGAAGAGTAGGACCTGCAACCTTTGCTTCTGATGTAGCTCATGAGGGGGGGGGCACACTTTAACCTTCTCCCCTTGTGTGCTAAAGGACCTTGTTACGGCACTGGTTAGAGGAGCTCCTCTTGTAGCATCTTGAATAATCTCATTAATTTCACAGAACGTCATGTACAGAATACCAGGTCTGTTATTACATGAACATCATAGAATAATCTCTATGTGAGTGCTGACCCTTCAGCCCTCCATGGAGAAGTGTAATGGATGAAAAGTACCACATGTGAACCTCTATGAGAGTGGATTAAGATTCTCTGCAGGCTTCTGGTGCTCATGAGTTGTGTGAAGATGGACAAATATCAGGAGAGATCTTCCCCATCTATGGCTAGCTTTGGAAGCATGGAGATGCCATAAAACATAAAGGGCAGACCCTTTCATATTGTGAACATGGTATAAATTCATGCCGCCATTTCACGAATAGTTTGAGTTCTTTTACCATTCAGAATTCAGTCCATGGATTTAACCCTCTTTGTGCTCTACACACTTCACTACAAATCCAGCAGCCTCTTAGTGGATTAAGCCAGCAGCTGTTAAATGCTCTGCAGCGATGAGTACAGCGTGCGGCATAATCCAGAGGAGGCTGCCTGTGTAGTTAAACGCAAGTTTATACAGATGTTCAGCCCCATCATTTATCATTTTACATTAAAAAACAGCAATTTGGAGCCTGAACCCTTCTCGTCTAGAAATTAAAGTGGAATTAGGGAGACCAATTACACTAGCTAACTATTAAAGCCTGACTTCAGTTCACAGATAGATATCAGATCCCCGCCTCCCCCAGACTCTGATAAAAGTGTGCTTTCACTCATAGATTTGGCATTGGGAGCTGTGACTGTTTGCACCGGTGTACTTTACATACATTCATCACTGTTATAATGACTATAATGTGGGTGCCCCAACAGCTCCTGCAGACTAGCAGAGGTACCTAGGATTTGTTTTAAAGTACAGTGGTACCTCAGTTCACGAACTTAACTCGTTCCACGATTCTGGTCGCGAACAGAATTGGTCGCGAACAGAATCAAACTGTGATCAGACTGCGATTCTGACTAGAGGAAGCCACGACCATGTGTCAGAGTAGGGAAGATGGCTGCGTTTGTGTTCGTCACCCGATGCGGAGTTCACGAACCGAATTGTTCGTGAACAGAAACTATCGTGAACCGAGGTACCACTGTATATGTAAAATCTAACAATAAACTTATTTTATTACTTCCTTTTTGGCCCGTTAAATATGGCATTGAAATAGTTTTGTTATATCTACTTGAGCAGAAGTGCAGAAAACACCTGAAATCCTGTAAGCTCATAGCTTCCTATGTCCTTTTTTTTTTTTTAAGGTCCATGATGCGTGAATGGAAGACAAACTTCACCCCTGTCCCTGTCAACCAACAAAATTAACTGTCAAATCACAGCACACTAAAAAAAAAAGGGCCTCCATTTCCTGAACCCCTTGGGGCGCAAGGCTCCTGACAGGGGTAGGGATGACTTAGCTCCACTTACCTGAAGGCCGGTGGACCCCTCTCCTCAGGGACCTGCTGAAACAGGTGGGAGGAGGCCGGGGAGCCCGTAAAGACCACAGAACCTCCTCCCCAACTTCAGGACGAGCCCCGAAGGTACCGGCACCCTCTGTCTTCTGTGAAGTCAAAAGGTGCTCAATTGTGCATAAAAAAGTGTGAAAATAAATAGGTTCCAGTGCACCACCCTGGCAGTCCTTGCGGCCAGAATGCAGAAATATTGCCCCGAGCTAGCCATAAGGCCTGCCCTAGAGGCGTAGCGCAGGTAATGCATGAAGTGCCATGACCGAGTGAGAGTGAATCATTGTGGGGTCCCGCTCCCAAGTGATTTTCTGGGACGCCACCCACAGGGGGCACAGCACCACGGGCCTCTGCGCCTCCCAAACTCTCCAGCCAGACCAGAGGTGCAGCACCCATACCCATCAGGAGGCATTAGTACCGAGGAAGCTCCCCCCTCTTCCAAAAAGGAGCCGCCTCAACACCCACCTTCACTTCAGAGAGTACTAAGCAACCATCCGCCCTAGGACGGTCCATGCTGTTCCCCTCCGACAACTGATAAGAACAGATAGTACACTTGATCATATTCGTATGTCCTCTGCTGCACTGAAAAGCAGTGATATTAGGCCTGCCCAGTTTAAGCATGTAGACTAAAGTACCCACCCCCATATCATGGAGATGGGGAGGTGTTCTGTAGTCCTATTACACTTTCTGTTATAAGGTGACAACGCTGCCCCTATATGGATACAGTTTATTGCACAGGTAGGCATCTTCAGCACTCCAGCTTTAGTAAAAATACAAATCCTATGAGGATTTTGTTCTTGCGTTTAGATACACGTTACGCTTTTGTGTGGTTCTCTGTGACTAAGCCTATTAACATGTATATCGATACTAGGAGCCGTCTGCTAATGTTGTAAGAACTTCAGTTTACTGTAGACAGAAAAAGGGAACACTTTTTACACTTCTGCATATGCATTAAGACAGGAGTTAGACCCCATTCACATCTGCGCATTATAGTTGTGGTGCGTTTGCATGTCTATCATTGTGTTTTACAATGCGTTTTAGATGTGTTACCATTGAACTTTCTGTAATGCATTTTTTACATCACACTTAAAATGTGCAGACGTGAACAGAGCCTTAGTATATGTGTTGATGAGCGATTTTGTGTTCTTTTTATGTGTATTTTGCTTCATTATTTATGCAAACCAAGGAAGACCTTCATTATGGAGAGATTCCATGAGGCATATGTATTAAAAAGGCATAAAACTGCATGAATTGTGCACTGTGCATGTACCATTGATTGCAGTGGGTCTGTTCAATGCATAGAAATGCAGCAAGTCTTATATGTTATACAGTTACTTAGCTGCAACTCATAGATTTATATTGAACAGATAGAAAAGAATAGGATTTCTGCAACGGAGTGTAATGCATGTATATTATAGCAGGAAAATGGACAAGCGTGAACAGTCCCTTAGGCTGAGTGCACACCGAGGCGACACCCCACCGTGCAACTGGGATGCCATTGGAAAATAATGGCATCCACAGCGCGATCGGTGCACACCTGGGCGACTCCTGAGCGTGCGGCACGATTGCTGCGTGGTGGGGTGTCGCCTAGGTGTGCACCGGCCCTTAGTCTGACAGCTTCTTCAAAAGGAATAGGAGTCACCACAGTACACTACCCTCTGGGGGTACAATAGGAGCTTGCTGATTTGCTGATTTGCCTCAGGGTAAAAGATCCAATTGATTACCCCACATTTGTGGTGTAAAAGTGAATTGTCTTTCTGCGTTGTATTCATAAATTGTGTTTTCAATTTGGCTGTTGAACAACATATACTGAGTGTGATGATTTTCTCTGCACTGATAAGAAAAAAATATGAGGCTTGTTCACTTAAGGAGTTGAGAATTTGCACTTGTGAAAACAATGTGTAAATATTGTGTAAATATTCTCCCTAATTATCCAACCATGTGAAGAGATTTGGGTGTGATTAGTTGTGTAAAGTGAACAGGAATTTGCTTTTCAGGTCATTAAATAATAGGAGGGAATATTCACATGTTTTTGAGTGAATTATCTCAACTCTTTAAGTAAATCCGCTTCTCCATGTGTGTTTTCCTTGGGGGGAGGGGGGGGATAAGACAAGAGCTAGAGAAAGAAAGAAAGAAAGAAAGAAAGAAAGAAAGAAAGAAAGAAAGAAAGAAAGAAAGAAAGAAAGAATATTCACCTTAATTATCCAACCATGTGAAAAGCATGATTCAGTTTGTAAAGTGAACATTGGATAACTGAAATATTCTCAACTTTCTTGAGTAAATCCGTCTGTGTTTTCTGTGTGGTGGGAGAAGGAAATAAGGAGAGAGAGAGAGAGAGAGAGAGAGAGAGAGAGAGAGAGAGAGAGAGAGAAAGAAAAAAGAAAGAAAGAGCTCAGGTGTGTCTACTTCTTTGGTAAATCAGCCTGTGTTTTTTTGTGGTGGGAAAAGAAAATAAGATGAGGGAGAAAGAAAGAAAGAAAGAAAGAAAGAAAGAAAGAAAGAAAGAAAGAAAGAAAGAAAGGAAGAAAGAGAAAAAAGAAAAAGAAATGGGTGACAGAGAGATGGGGGAAAAGGAGACAAAAGAAAAGGGGATAGAAAAGAAAGAGAGAGAGTAGGTTGGCCCTGACAGACCCATATTCCTTCTGCTGGCAGGGTATGTACACATTTTGGCCAAGCACACATAATGTAATGATAGATATCACAGTCTGTACAGCTGTATATGGCTCAGGTGTGTCTCTATAAATCAGAGGAAATCACCATATTTACTATCATTATGTCTGACTAAGAGAAGTAACTCAAATATTTGACCAAAACCAATACCCAGATAAGTACATTTCTGGAGGACCACATGTACCCCTCTGAAACCATCATGGCAGGTTATACAGGATTGGCTCTCCCTGGTCCTCTATGTACTCTCTCTATATAGCACACACATTGCTGATCTCCTTCTCACCCGGGGACACCGCGACAGAGAAAGGTTTTAAAATAACATTTATTACCGATCGTTATGGGATGTCACACAGAGGTGTTACTCAATTCTAAACAATGAAAACAACAGCAATACTTAAAAAATGACAAAAAGGTGACCAGACGCCACTTTGGCCGAATATCTACAATTTTGTACAAGTCTCAGTCATATAGTCCCTGTTACCTGCATGTCACCTGATTCACCCACAACGAATAACTTACAATCCCCGTGTCATAACATTAGCTTTGCCCTCTGTGTGAGTACATAGATAAGGTTTATAGAGTACATTCACGATGCGCCCGGGCTTGGGTCATGCTTGCGTCAATTCGCACAGAAGACAACGATTTAAAAAGGATAAAAGTGCATTTTAGAAAAGTTTACAGCTTGTGTGAACGGCCAGGAACGTCTCCGAACGGAGTGTCTCCAGAACATGGCTGACTGGATAAAAAACAAGACTAGGTTTTAGAAAAATTCAGTTTCAAGCGTCCTGGATTTCATAATGGTGGTCCTACATGTGATCCTTAAAACCAAGCATAGTCCCCAGGCCTTAGGAGACCTTCAGAGTCTCAGGGTTCCGACCCAGCAATGAAGTCCTTATGGCTGAGCTCAGTTCATTGCTTCTCGGTGTTGTTATTAACTACAGCGCTATAGAGACCGTTTGTGTAGACCTGGTCCTTGTGCACATTCGCCCGGTCCCTCATCAGGTCACTAAAGGCATAGTCCATAGGTGGGCGGAAGCCAAGGGTGGGCATGAAGCCAGCTGTGGAATAAGGTGTCATGAAGGCAAGTCCTCTGCTGTGGGCAGAATAGGCCAGTCTTAAAGGGTTGAGTCCCAGGTGTCCACCTAGCTGGTATGTGTTGGTGTCTGTGCCAAAGTGGGTGGCATTGGGCTGTAGAGGGGAGAAGGCAGACCTGCTTCCCAAGGTCCCTATGGCTGGGGTGATGGCTCCAGCTATAAGTGGCCGGTGGCTGGTGGACACTGAAGGTTGGATGCTCTGAAGAGCCGCTTCTCTAGACCAGGTCTCGTCACCCTTCTCCTGGCCCCTGTTGTTCAGGATCTGTTCTATGGCTTGGACCACATCTCCGCCGCAGCCTTGTAGCACCAGCTCCAAAACGCTCCTCTTCTGGGTCGGGAAGACCCTGGTCAGAATGTCAATGGGGGTCCTCTGCCTGGCTGAGGAAGAAGAACTTGGGTCCTGCTCGTCTTTCTCGCCATCAGAACCAGACTCAGAGCCCAGTGGGCTGATGGAGCTCGGGGTGTCCTCTCCTTCTTTCAGGGCCTTGGACATTGGGGAGCTGAGAAAGGACTCGCCGTCCCCGTTTTCCGAACCAGAACCGGGTCTCACTTCTGGAGAGGAGGCTCCTTGGGTGCTTCCAGTCACCGATTCACTGTCTGTAGTCACTGGCTTGGCCCCGGGGGTCAGCTGCTGAGGAGTCATTGACCTGGGGATGAGGTTCTTGGGGAACAGTTCAAACTTCTGGATCTTGGTCTCTGGGGGGAGGAAGGAGACAGAACTGGGTCAGTGTGCCAGCTCGCTGCAAATATTAGGGATATACAAATATATACCTCACAATATGATGTCATTTCAAAGTCTGTGATCCCATATACCGCAAAGGATTACAACTTACACCAGTGGAGACACTTTCAAATCTGCATCTGTGCTTGTACTTTTTGTGTGTGTGTGTGTGTGTGTGTGTGTGTGTGTGTGTGTGTGTGTATATGTACATATATTTTTATTTATTGTTTCTATTCTTTTTATTTATTTATTTATTCTTTATTTTTTTTACACCATCTATTTTTAACGAACTTTTTCTCTCTAATTTGCGAATTTAATTAAAACCAAAAAAAAACAACTCATATAACTACAACCTCTTCGCATGTTATTTGGGAAAATAAAATTGTCCCATTTATTTCTACAACCACAAAAGTAACAACTAAACTTTATCATTAGTTACATAAAGATAACAGTGGGGTCTTGAGAAAAAAAATATTTTTTGTACTATTTCCACTACAATTAGATACATCTCAGGATATATAGATGTAGATAGAGATTATAAGATCAAAATAGATAGAATTTATTTATTTTTAATAGATCTTCATTCATTAATCAAATGCCCTGCCTGCTCCGAATTTTGCTAGATTCAGGTACAAGGACTGTGCCTGCACAGGGAGGGTTTTTTGACACCAATTTGACAGTCCATCTGACAGTTAGTAACTTTCTATAAGAAGGACAAGGGTGACATTATACATCTATTTAGTAAAATACTACAATATGACAACTGAACTCAAGTAGGAATATATTACATTTTATAGTACTGTTATGTTGTGAGCACATGCAGGCGTGTGATAGCAATACATAGAGAGCTCATCAAAAATGATCTATTGGTCAGCCATCTATTGCAACACACTTTGTGGCATAAAAAATAGAAGGATATAAATAGATGAATAGATCATTAATAATAGAAAGGTAATAATAATAGATAGAGAGAGATAATAATAATAAAAAATAGATAGAAGAAGAAGATAATAATAATAGATAGAAGAAAAAGATAATAATAATAATAATAATAATAATAGATATATAGGTACAATGACCGCATTGTGCCCATTACTGCAGCTGTCTGGTTGTATGCTGGCACTAAAAGTAACGATACAGCACCATGGAGTTTGTCATACAAATGCCATCATTAACAGTTTTCATAATTTTATTGAATTTCGTTTTCCTCGATTTGCTCTGTATAAGTTTACAAAACGAAATCTGCTTTCCAACCCTCTTGGAAGAGACCTTAAAAAAATTGATGCAGACTAGTGATAAAACAACTTGTGCTTACCTGAGCCTCCATCCGAGCACACAGAGCTGAAGACCTCGTAGGCGGGCCTGGGTGGGATAATACCATTGGCCGCGGCCAGCGCTAACCCCTCGGCGGTTCCATAGAGCAGCTGCAGCTCGCGGGCTTCGTTCTCCTCCTGAGCCTGCTGCCGCCGGAGCGCAACTTGCGCGGCCATGACCCTCTGGCGCTCCGCGATCAGCGTGCATTTGGCGCACATGCAGTCTTTCCAACGACAATACCGCTTGTGGCCCTTCAATGCCGACACCACCCCGTGATTCCTGCAGCGGGCACACTTCGGGGTGCGGGGATACTTCTCAGTTGCCCTAAGAAGCAGCTGGGGGCCCCGGAGCAAAGTCCCAGCCATGGTGACTGGCAGAGAAGTGGAGGTGGCAGTCTGGGGGACCTGGGATCCAGATGGGGCCCCGCTTAACTCCATCCTAGTCCCCAAACTACAGTATAGCAAAGCAATCTTTAGTACCGATGTATATCTATTCCCTCATTCACTATAGACACCTACACCGACCTTACAACGATATCCTATGCCCAGACCCTGACTCCTACAGATTCACTCAGCTCTTGGTAATGATTCACACAAGTGCTTCAATGACTTCTGAGTACCCAATACTGAGCGAGTAGCAATGCACAGAAGTTATTCTAGAACTCTTAGGATGTGACCACAGAAGTGATCAGTCAATGCTGTCTTTATTTTCACCCTCTCTCTATGTATTCTGTACTAATAGGCTTTCGTTCTTGATTACGATCGTTCACATCCTAAATATTTTAGAGCCCATTAACATCACAACTATTTACCCCTCAAGGCAGCTGTGAAGTCCCCGAAGAAGTCTTCCTGAGTCGGATCAGCGTGCAGCCCTATGGCACAGCCCCAGCTCTTCACTATCCCTGAAACTGACCACCACGTACCTCTGTGTAATGTAAGTGATCCTATGTGACAATGTTAGCGTCGGTGTCCCAGATCCCCAAATCCCCTCCAAAGATCCAGATCTGCCACAACAACAACGCCCAGCTGTATCCTCTTCCCCCAAGCAGAGGTTTGCAAGTGTGTCAGCCAGTCCACACAAAGTTACAACTAGGACCAGAGGCTCCAAGCTGCTCCCCTTGTCTCTCAATTGTTGCTCACTCATTAGACAAATGGTGACAACAATGTGGAGCTCGCCATTGGACTGCCAAAGGGGGAAGCACACTTCTGATTGGTCGCCGACTTGTTCTACTGTGTCAAACAGGCGGTTTTCTCAAGTAACAGGAGGGAGGAGGAGGGACCCGCATAGGGAGCATCGCAAAGAGTTTTCTAGGAGAGATCTTTGTGTCACCCGGAGCCCCCCCCCCTCCCCCCTCTCTGTACAGTCCAGAGATCAGCCCAGACACTGCTAGTCATAGTACAAAATAATAGTAATAAATGAGGTGACAACTGCACTGGAAGCTTTGTAATATTTTACTAATTCGTCACTTTGCTGGCTGCCAAGAAGATTTATAAAAAAATAATAATAATTGCAGAGGTGAGTATGCTTTTTACGCATCGTTCGGTTATTTTATATTTTAGATACAGCTCGAAATATAATTTCATTCGTTCCTGGGCTTCAAAGGATACGAATATAGTTGTTTATTTCAAAGCACTGTTTTCAAATTGTTCTCATTCTTTAGGAGATCACATAGATAAAAATCCGAATGTTTAAATAATTATAAGACAAAAAATATATAGATAAACAGATATATAGATGAGAGATTAATACATAAAAAATACTAGATGTTCTTTTTATTATTATTATTTAATGCCTTCTTATTATTATTATTATCATTATTATTTTACTATTATTATTTTTTACATTTTTACTTTTTTATTTTTTACAGTCATAGAAGCAACAACAATTAATTAAAACAAGGAATTCGTCCCTCACAAATACTAATACTTATTTGGTAAATTGAATTTCTGTACAACAGGTCACTTTAAATACATCCGGACAGGAAAAAATAAGAACACAGGTGCAGATTTAGGAAATTCCATGGTCATAAAACGTTGACATCTATTTGATCTGTTTATATCTGTCATTTTTATATGGTGCTATAACTTTATATGGTGGTGTCTTGATATGTGGGGCCGTGCCTGGCAGTTGTGACACTTGTAGTTCCACAGTAGTTGAAGGGTGACGTACTTTTATATCAACGTTCATGCACTTTGTGGCTTTGTTTTGGGCTAACACGACCAGCAGGATGATCACCGCTTTGAACTAGGAGGCTTGTTGTTCTTTCTTGCATGCATCAGCATGTATATAAAATATAAATCTACAGAACATAATTCAGAAATTTTATATTACATACAGGCAAGTACAGGTCAGGTTTGGGCTCCTATGAGATGTACAAAAGGGCCAATTTCTCCAATCAGCCCAAAAATCGGATTCACTCTCCAGTCAAAGGTGACAAACATCCCCTCACTGAGGGTGTCATCACACGTTTATTAAGCGGAGGCAGCGAGTTAAAATACCTGCTGTACTTGTATGACTGAAACCCTCTGGAGGACTCCGGTGATAGACTGAAAACCTAATGATCACCTCTCTGATGTCTGGAGGCAAGGCTTCTATATGTCCTATATTGACTGATGAACTAATATTGACATGGGCTGAACACAACACACAAAGGAAGAAAGCAACAACAACACTGTCTACAAACAATACTCTGCCTTGTAACCCACAAATGGAGATAGATTTCATAGATCACTCAATTCACATAAAAGCAACAATATTTATCAACTTAGATTAATACTTAGCAATTTAAAATTTGTAAATTCAATGTACATAGACTATATTTTTACCATTTTCAAGTTTAAAATAATTGTCCATGTAACGAGATGTTCGCCATTATTCGTGTAAACTTAGATAGCTTGCCAATTAATTTTTGAAGGTAAATTATAAACTTTGCTAAAATTTTACAGAAAGATAGATAGATAGATAGAGAGAGAGAGAGAGAGAGAGAGAGAGAGAGAGAGAGAGAGAGAGAGACAGAGATCATCAAACAAATTGTATTATTATAATACAGGATTTATGTAGCGCCAACAGTTTGCGCTGCTCTTTACATACAATATATAAACAAGACATTACAATCACAATACAATTCAAGACAAGATGGTAATGTTGTTATCATTTATTTCATTATAATATAATATACAGAGAGGGGTCGTTGTGGGTCCTCTGGATCGTGCGAAGTTCCCGCTGCCCGGTGGAAGTATCACAAAATACACGTCGATAGATATTGTCAAAGCACAGACCAAGGAATATTTCATTTATATACCCCTATTATTGCACACACGATAATGTGAACTCTCATTTGGTGTCTTGTTGTCCGATAACAAAGTAATGTATGAATCCTAGTGGAAGAGTTACCAAAACCATATGTATCAATCAAGTCAGGAAAATCCGCATGGAGACATGGAGTGGATATTTATTTTATTGTATTTTTTTAAACCGAATCGTTTATTTCAATATAGCGAGATCATTGAGGACATATACCATATATTTATGTATTATGAAACCTGCTCAAAGCCATGACATATCAAAAGCAGTCTGAATTTCTAAGGATCGCATACCTTGCTAATGCTATACAGTATAATGATGACAATAATAATACAGACTAAATTCTAATTCTGAGGAGCATATATATAGATATCTATCTATATATATATAGATAGATA